TTTAAAATAAAATTTAAAATTTATTTAACTAACCAATTATTTTTTTAGTTTAATTAAAATTAAATTGAACTTTCATTTAATTAATTGATTAATCAATTTCAAACAAATTAAATAATTTAAATTAATTAAAAGAAAATTAAAATCCATATAATTAATTAATTTTAAATAAAGTTAAAAATTAATGAAATGATTAATTTAATATTTAAACAAACTCTAACTAATTAATAAGTTAAAACTCCTAATCAATTAAATAATTGATTAATCAATTTAAATAATAAACTAAAATTTCAAATTTCAAATTAATTAAATTAATCAGGCAATAAATTTAAAACTTAAATTAAATAATTTAGTAATTTTAAAATGTATTTAAAATTTAGAATTTAATTGACAAGCTGAGCACTTAATTTTAAATTATAATTTAAACTTTAAATAAACAAAATTAAAAAAATGCAGTAATAAATTTAAAACTTAAATTAAATAATTTTGTAATTTAAAATATATTAAAATTTAAAATTTTAATCGACAAGCTGAGCAGTTAATTTTAAATTAACTAAATTAAAAAAAACTACAGTAGAAGAAAACAACGGAGAGAGCCACTCAGTGAAGTTATGCATTTTTTATTAAAATAATAAAAGAATAATGTTCACACTATACAAACTTAAGTTCAACTAACATCAACTAAATATCTAAACTCCTAAATTAAAACCCCAAAACAAAACAAAGAAAACTCAAAACTCTAAATATCAAACTCTGCTCCAGCTCTTGCAAGCCCTGAACACTTTTAAACAAATAAACAAACGTCTTGGTAAACAAAACTTGTACTGAAAAGAGAAAACTAGTACTATTAGTAAAATAGGTACTGAAACTAAACTATTATTGAAAAGGAAAATTGGTTATGAAACAAAACAAGAGAAGCTACTTCTGTGAGTCAAACACTATTGATATAGGCAAAACTACTGTGTATAGCACTATAAGCCAAGTGCTAACATAAAAGACGCTACTGCTGTAAACAAAACCCTAGAACTGGTGTTGAGACAGTGAAAAGCACAAAACTAAGTGTCTATTGTTAAATCCCTGCTAGGCTAAGTTCAAAAGGCAACCTCTAATAAAGGCCATAAGTCCTACTTTAATTTGGGTATTAGGAAAATCTTGATACTGTCCTTAGGGGAAATCTAGTTAACTAAACCTTGATATTGCCCTTAGGGAAAATCTGATTAACTACAATCTACCTTAAGGAGGATGAAATCCTAAGAATGCATGGTGGAATTCATGCCTACGTGTTGTTTTTCTTGAGCTAACATAGAGCAAGTGATTAAGTAAGTCCTCATCTTCCTTGGCTTCTATTCTCTTAGGGCTTGTTCATCATCATTGGCGATTGACCACTTATTTGAGCATTTTCTTCCCAGGTTTGTGCCTGTTCTCCGTGAGCCCTAATTGTATGGTCTCTTTGTTGATCTTTGTTCACCAATCCTCTCTCATTGCGAACCTCTGCTCATTATTGACTTGGCTTATCATGCATACTGAATTTTGACTCCTTGCTTGTCATCAATGCTAATTGTCAATTCTTTGCGGTCTCTTCATCACCATAGCCTACTCCACTATGCCTGCAAGAGATCTCGATTATTCCTGTCTTGTTGCAACAAATACCTGTCAAAAAACCTTTTCTCTGCACTGCCATATCTGAAATTTAAACCTCCTGGAAAGCACACCTCCAACTCTTTCGAAGTCACCTCCAATCAACAACCTATTGCCACTGGAATGCATGAAGGATCATGTGGAAGTCTTCTCCTGATTATTAGACATAAATTGAATAAGCACAATTATCTTTAGCTCTCACAAATTGTAATGATGTTTATCTGTATGATATTGTGAAATGTTTTGAACAAACCAGTAAACTTAAACTTAACAAGAATAAATGTTTTCAGGAAAATCAGAGAAGGAAATACTTTGATTTAGAAGTACAATAGAGTCTTGACCAAATTAACAGATAACAAGCACTTCTGGTTATAATGACTAAGGATGTTTCAAAAAGAAAATTCCAACAACTTTCTTTCATTTCTTCTCAATGAGGTTTGGTTCTAGTAAAGAAAAAATCATGGCAATCCCACCTAAACAACTTGTTTCCGGGCTCCTCTGATCCCTGCAAAGAATTGAAGCTTCCTGAAGGAGAAGTATGCTGGTTGTCCATGTGCTTGCTGGAATTTCCAGCAACTGCCAGAAAATCTATCCCAAAGAAGACAACTAGAAACTGGTAAATCAAATGTTCATAAGGATAAACAAGGTGACCAAGAGATTAGAGAAGGACCACCACAGCGAGCCTTCTTTGGGGAAATTTCTTGTGCAGGAAATGGTAGTGTGATGGCTGACCTAGATAATTTCTCCCCTTAATCTTGTTGCAACCTTTAGTGTACACCCTATCTTCCTCTCCCAATATTAAACTTGAAGCAATTCAAGGTTAGCTGGAATTTCAACCACCTGCAGAAAATTTTAGGAGCTACAAACAATAGATTGTTGCTAATTTAAATTAATAAGCGAAATGAGAAATAACAGGATAACAAAGAACCTGCGCATGGGGATATCTTGAATCAACCCAGTATGGCTAGAGTGGTGAATTACGGTGATGGTTTTTTCCTTTTAAGATTGCTGTATCCCCTTCTCTAGTTTTTTTCCATTCAAATTGACAGATGCCCACCAGTTGCCAACCCAACTATGCATTGATTGACGTACTTTCCCTGATGGGTATAATAATACATATTACTTAACACAAGAAGAAAAAAATGTAGTATTGATGCCTTTAAAAGAAAATATAAAGGACACTAGAAATGATCATAATTGCATGAAGAGGTTCTAAAAGTGAATGACATTCATCCATAAGGATTGTGTCGCCAAACCTCGTCATGAAATTTGATAAATAGAAAATTGTTTAAACATTAATTCAAAACCGTGATTTCATTTACTTTGTGTAACAGACAGTTTGTAAGTTTTAGGGTAATCTTGCATGGGGAGGTTTAAGTTCTCCATTATTTTTGTGGATGCAACATTTTGCCAACTTCCACCATGATTATATTGCAAACTTTTTATTGCTTTGTACACTGAATGTGAAAAATACTAACATGGAGCCGCTTTGATTCTTGGTCTATGGAGGTGCTCAAAACCCATAGATGATAAGAATATCTCCATAACTGGCATATACTAGGTACCCATCTTCATCTTTAGGTATTTCTTCAACGTATTTTCATCCTCTAGTAGAACTTCTTTGACTAAGGGCAATATGCACTATTAGGCAATTTGAAGCTTGTTGCGTGTCAGAAAATACGCGGCGGTAGAGTTTGTAAATTCGCGTCCGAGCGTTGCACGTAAGTTAACACACAAATAGAAAAGAGAAATGAACACCAAGAGTTTTTACGTGGAAAACCCAAAAGGGAAAAAACAACGGGGCCTCGCCCAGTTGCAAAGTTCCACTAGTGTTTATGTAGATTACAAATGGCGGATTCGTCCCACATCCCGAAATTAATTTTTGAAGTTTCCAACTAGCTTTTGCCTCGAGATTCGTGCCCGATCAAGATAATTTTGCGATGTCGTATCAAAGCTATATGTCCAAAATGTAAACATAAAAAATATTTTATAAGAGAGTTCTTGGTATTGTTAGTGTTGGCTACCACTATCCGCATCTTGGGGATGGTTTGCAGGAACGACTTTAGGAGGGACTCACTATGTGTCATCACCGGCTTACTTTCCAAATTTACAGGGTTTCTTGTCCTAAGCCCAAAGGGAATTTTTAGTGGTTGATTGCTATCGTCCTACTTAGGCCAATTTGATAACATTGGATAACATTCAATACTGTTGAAATTGTATTAGATTTGTGATTGCAGGACACAAACCATTGTTGAATTGTGCAATAGTGTACTCATTGGGTTTAGCCGCATCATATTTTAACATTGCTCAAATTTAGCTTCATATTCTTGCATAGATAGACCCTTTGTTAAAAATTATGAGGTTTATTAATTGCATGTTGCTGAAAATGAGAAGGTAAGTAAGTCTTTTGTAATTCTTTTTTCATCTTATCTTAAATAACAATCTTATTCTTTACCTCCCTTGCCCTTGTTCTCTTAAGATTCTCACACTAAACATATGCACATTTTTTTTTAATTTGATGGCTACTAGCTTAATGCACCTATAGGGTGACAATTCCTCATAATCAAAGACATGCTCTTTTGTATTCAACCAATCGATAAAGTCATCCGAGTTCAATCGACCTTCAAAATCTAGAATATCTACTTTAACCCTTAAATTCTGGTAGTGCATTTTTTGTTCGCTTTTGGAAACTTTAGATAAGGTTCCTGTTTGGATGATATCCAAATGTTATATTCCTCTACCACATCCCCTGCGGTGACTTCTACACTTGGCCAACTGGTTAGTTGGATGTATCTCACGGAAACTATTTCCCTCATCGAACTTTTGCTTACAGACCTTATAAAAGAAAACTTTGTTCTTCCCTTAGCTGTAACAAGATGTTTGAGGATTAGAAAATAAAATTTTCAATATGTATGTCTTCTAAGAGTTCAAAATTTTGTGGCATGAACTTCATTATTTTCTTTATTTTAGTAGTTTCTTTGTTATTTTTTCCCATCTTATTGGGCTAATTTGTATGATGGTATTGACCACTATTATATTGATTTCCCTGGTTTTCTTAATTTAGTCAGAATTATTTTTTGCAGTGAGAAAATTGAATACTATCATTCTGAAATGTCTTCTATTAACTTGTGTGAACTTCTGCTTCAATGAATTCCTTCTGAGCTGTTTCCTTTGACCTGCAGTGAAGGACTTGGTGAAGGATACGATGGAGATATTGCTTTTGCAAGCTCCCTAGAAACATTTGGTGGTGGTCATAATGATCCCATTAGTGTTGCATTTGGAGGTTAGATTTATAATGTTGTTTAGTATCTCATTATCATTGGCTTTAGTCTAACTTGCTGCTTATTTAATGTCTCATGTAAATTATCATGCAAAGTATCATGTCTTATGCTAAGAGAACATGCTTATGTGCTGTATTCTGAACCTTTATAGGGCCTGTGATGACTAAATTTACGATCGCCTTAAGAGAAATTGGAACATATAAAGAAGTTCTCCGTTCTCAGGTAAAGAGTTTTGAATCCTTCAGTGCTCATCTTTAAGAATTTTTTTTTGTTGGGTTTTGTTTTGTTTGATGACTCATTGCAAGTGCTTTTATCAAGTTTCCTTTTCAATAGTTCTTTGTTGATTTTTATTCTTTAGGTTGAGCACATGCTTAATGATCGTTTGCTGCAGTTTGTTGACATTGATCTGCATGATGTTAAGGTACATTAATTGTTTGACTATATTGTTTCCTTTGTACGAGAATTTAAATGGCCTTTAGCATTTCAAACAACTAAGCTGCAAATATACACCTTGGAATCTATTAAACTGATGTTCCTACTATTTATGCTTTACATTTTGTAAGCATAAATAACGTATGACAAGGACTTGTATCTTTCAGTGAATTTTCCTTACTTGCTTTTGCTTCTAAAATGAACTTTACAATTCTTAATGCAAGCATGTCATTGAAGCTATCATAACCATATGGCTCCAATAATCTATTAACTAATACTGCAATCCTCAAAAGCAAAATGCAGAACTTCACAAATCAACACAAGTTTGTCTGGGGCCTGATTCAGGTCAATGTGACACTTACTCTAGTGCTTTCTTTATGCCATACGAACGTAATTTATTTTGACTTATTTATTAGTACCACAGGCAGGTAGAATTCAATCTGGGTCCAATTGGTTTAATTGGTTCTCCAAACCTTTAATATATAAATAAAGAGTTATCAAGGAATCAAAGCTCACATAAATTGCAATTTTGAGCTCCTTAACTTTATAATTTTATTCATTTCTTAATCTGAGTTTCTTCGTGCATTTACGTGCATTATTCTAAAATATGTTAGCCAAAAAATGGTTTATTTATTATGTGATGGTGCCTCCAACATGTTAATGATCTAAACTTGGTGCAGGATGCTCGAAAGCGTTTTGATAAAGCCTCCCTCTTGTATGATCAGGTCAGTTGTTGAATTTGATCATTTTGCTTTCTAAAATGCGTTGAAAAGAATCTTTTTTCTTTGGTTAAGTGCTTGCTCCTTATACTTGTAGTGAAGCTTATTTTAAATTATGTTGAATTTTGTACACATCCAATGCCACTGTTTGTAATATGTTAAATGCTGAGAAAATTTGTTTGAGAACTTACTGCTATCTTGTTTGCTAATTAAATGCTTCATTGATACCATTAGGAAAGGCTACCCCTTCTATTAATTAATAGCTGGCATTTTGAATCTGTAAAATTGGTTGGTCAAGAATTTGATTTGTGGATAGATCGCTTTCATCCAGGTTATGATGCTGATGGTGATTAATTTATGAACTAAAGAATTCTTGTCAGATATGATCTTGAGGAAGTAAATTGATCAAAGCAGTATGGGGAAGTGTATGATCCTACATCATTTGAGTGTTTTGAATTCTTTGGTTGTGATGGTGAGCGTGAGACAAACTTGCAGTTTTGAAGATATTGCCAACATGCGGGCTTAAGGATCTGATAGGAATTACTTGAGTCCGCAAGTAACCCTAAGGTAATACTTGAGTTCGCAAGCACTCCCAAGCCAAACGGATGAGCAAACAGCAGGATTTCTGCTATTTACAGCAGAAATCAGCACAAAATCAGAGGAAACAGCTAGAAAACTGAGAGAAAACCACACAAACGCTTGTATTCCACTAGTAGAGAATAAAAATCAGCAAAGATACAATCGTTCTTCAATCCGAGAGGATGAACAACTCTCCAATCTCCGGCGATGCCAAGAGCCCAAAACAAAGAAAACCCTAGATCTCAAATTGACATTTAAATTCAAGATGATCCCCCCTTTCCTCCTAACCTCCTAATTAACCATAAAGGAGTTTTACAAAATGTCTAAACAGCCCCTCGCATTTAAAATTTTCCTCCCAAAACTCCTCCTTGGCCCCCGTCGGATGTGCTCGTTCCGCTCGGTTCCGCCCGCCCTGTTCGGTTCTGCCTCGAGTAGGTGTGGACCCGTCCGGGTTGGACCGGTCCAGCCGGCTCAGGTGCCGGCCTAACAGGATCCTAATTGTTATCAAGGGGTGGCCTCTATTGATCCTCTTAAAATGGTTATGTTTTGGTTCATCAGTTTGTGGGCAATATACTTCAATGGGGGCCAGCGTTGCTTGGTGATGGATGTCATGAAGAAAATCATTTCTTCCTATTTTTCCTACTTGTAATGGACTGAATATTTTAGGGAATGACCATACATCCTTTCAAGCGTTGAATTTTTTCCTTGATTTTCAACATGAGCGGATCTGGGGAAGGGATTTGATGTTGAGATTGTTTTCCATTGAAGTTGAAGGTTAATCATTCCTTTTGTCAGAATTGAGAGTGTTCATTGCTGTTGCAGGGACCACTAAAATTTCGAAGCATGGGTGTGCTTTTCAAAGATTATACCAAATTGCTGTGTGCCACAACTGATTTTAAGTCAGCTAAGATTCTTAAAGACACCAGCTTTTGTACGGTCTCATTTTTTGCGTATACAATTTTAAAACATGACTTGCGCATGAAGACACTTTGATGTTGAGGGAGGCATGAAAGCAACTCATTAGAGCTTCCTCCAGAGAATAAAGTGTAGGAAAAGAGAGATCTATTTTCACACCCCTTATGGTTTATTTACAGTATTGAGGTCACAATGGATTTGGGCACACCAAGAGGAGATTGACTTCTTTTATATCCACAGATTCAAATCACAATTAACACACTAACTGAAATAAAAATGTAGCAATTATATTAAAAAACTAAAGATAAATGGCATTTTTAATATTTATAAACAAATACAATAAGCGTACAAATATTTACCACAATATAATTTATTAATCTTAAATATGTTAGACCATGCACATTTTGTAATCAATAAAAATAATCTTGCAAGTGATGCTACATAAGTCTAATTTATTGAGTAATCTAAATTATTAAACGGAGTGAGTATTTTAATATTAAGTACAATGTAAATGATTTGCTTGACTACACAAGCTAAGCTAATTTATTCACTAATTCCTACGTTACATAAGTGCAAATACAAATATATAAATGGTGATTATAAGATTATGTTACAAGTGAGAGAAATCTTTTAAGCACTAATAAATGAAATACTCTTCACAAGTGTGCAATTTTAATAATTATTTTCTCCATATATAACCTTCAAGAATAAGAAATAATTTAATGTGTTAGGAATGTAAAAGAACAAGTTATAGATAAATTGAAAGACCAATATTCTTATGTTGTTTGGCTTTCAATCAGGTGTAAATTCATGCCTAAGTCCTCCTAGGATTCCCACTATTCCAAACTTTCCACCATAAGTTCAACTCTTTCACATCTCAAGTGGTATACGCTACCAACTCTTAAAGTACACGAGAAATTAAACTATCCAAAAATTCCCTTGAATTTTGGTGGTGATCTAATGTCAATCATTTGTAATTAGATTACAATCTTTATACACTGATAAAAAAACTTTGCAAGTGAAATTCCATTACATAAGCCTTAGAGATTGATGAGGAAAGAGATTAGCATTATGAACTCATCAATGACTAGCTATTGATTGAAGAACATTTAGAAAATTTCACGAGAAAGCCCCTTAGAAGATTTTACGATGAAAGCTTAAATGCTAAAAAATCTATTAAATTCTTGTCCTAATTTAGTGTGGTGTTTTTAGACTTACATAACCTAGAAAATAAGTTTAAAAAATATTTCCCTAGAAGTCTTCTAAAAGTATCCCCAAAATAACCTCCTACTCCTAGTCCAACACTTACCCAAGTGCTGCTTAAACTAGCCATTGTTGTGCTGGATGTGGTGTGTTATGCCTCCATGTGTATATTGAAGCAGTTTCGTTGTCATTAGGTTTAGCGAGTTAGGTGGGCCTTTTGATGGCATTATATGTAATTATGATGAAAGTTTGTATTTAACATATCATAATGTTTATAAATAATACCTATAGCATATTCTACATCAAAATGCAAGTAAAGAACTGAATGAATTGAATGGAATTAAAATTAAACTCAGAATCATCAAGTATAATATAACTATGTTATTAGCATTTAAGTAACTCAATTAATGTTCTTTAGTAAAATTTAATGAAATGTGTGCAACATGTAAGATTGAATAAATTTTAATTTGCCAACACATGAAATACTTAATTAAGGAATATTAATGGCATTCAAATTTAGTTCAATTTCCTTAATTAAGATGCGGATGACATAGTTTGCATATAAAGCTGAGATTTTAATTTATAAAATGCAAAATTTATGATCAATTGAACTTACAAACATATATAGGTGATCCAAGGTTTAAAATTGCGTAAATAAGCCTCGAGGCGGTCTGAGGCGTAAGCCTCACGGACGCAGAATTGCGTAAATGAGAATTTAAGGGTTTTAACAGGTAAATAATAGCAATATTCTATCATACAATAAAAACTTCTAAATGACAAGTGGAATTAGTGGAAATTAAGAAAATATATGTAATAAAAGTATGTTCCAAAGTACAAAACCATAAAATTATAGTCTATCAGAACTCACAAAGTACAATTAAGAAGGAACATAAAATATAATCATATCCCATCACTAAATAGGTCTTTAAGGGAATCTTCTTTTCCAATTGTATCTATGAATGTCATATCTTCATCATCTTCAATATGACTCACTTTTCTCTTCCATGTTCAATAAAAATGATCATTAATTCATTATAATGTTAATTGCTCACTTGATATAAATATAATGCAATAACATATAAGAAGTTGTGAAATACCTTTACTTGATTGTTGTGCTATAGAGCTAGTGGATGTGTGTGATGTGATACTAGTGGATGTGCCCACTTGATCTGCTTCGCCCCTCAAGACATCCACACTTAGATCCTCTAGTTGTAAGTCTGATAATGACAAATCTGTCTCATCATCTATGAACCACTCATTATCAGATGACACATCATCACACACCAACGGGTCCTCATCATCCTTCAACCCCTTATTCCTCAACCTCCTATCTCTTAACCTCTTGTTGTGCATAATATATACAAGGGAGTTCATTCTGAGTGTTGATAGCCGATTTCTTCCCTTTGTTTGCACTTGACTATATGTACTCCAGTTTCGCTCACACCCAGAAGGCCAGAAGAAGAACAAGTGAGGCCCAAAACTCTTACAGCAAAACTCTGTAACTCAGGGGTGGAATCACCAAATTGGATCCATCATTCAACTGTTTTCAAGAAGAAAAAAGATAATCAGAACTTAATAAAGTGTCTTACATTTACCAAAATAACTATACCTGGAGACCGTTTGGCAATCGTTGATTTTGCTGCATGCAGACAAAAAAAACTCCATATCTGTCTGCTCCGGTATTAGCCGTTCCATGCAATGATACAAACCAAGCTTCACCTATGGGTTTGAAGATTTCCTCTTTGAATATTGAAATTGATGATTGAGATAATATGCCGTTGCATGTAGATGACGGTGTAACCGTACCTCCCACCGATCATCAATGATATCCCAAATCTCTCTATAGCTTGCCTCCTCTCCTCCCAAGTTGTGTGCAATCAACTCCTTGGCCTCATCCATAGCATTATAAATAAAACCCATGGCTGGTTTCTTCTCGGCATCCACTAAACGTAGAACTTGCACTAAGGGTCTCGTGCTCAATATGACATAGGTCACAGTAGCCCAAAATTTATCATTTAGAATTATTTTTCTTATTTCCTTCCCCTCACTTTTCTTCCCCCACACAAAATTAAGCCATTCTATTGATGTAAACATTGCTTCAAGAGGTTGTCTCACATCCAACAGGCTTTGCAGTGATTTGTAGTGCACAAATGTAAGGACAAACATTAGGAATTGATAATAATTTGTAGTGCACAAATGTAAGAACATACCTAGTGGTTGCAGGGCGAATGATTTCCTTCTTTGAAAACTTTCTCATCAAGGCTAAGACCCATGAGTGGTTGTAGATAACTTTGTGATCTTCTTCGCCCTAGAAAGAGCGCTCTTGTGCTGAGGTAAGTCACCAAGTTCCTCCAAAATGAGATCGATACAATGTGCTGCGCAGGGGGTTTAATATAGGTGTGCCCTCTTCTCCATCAACATTTGACCAACTGCTTTGTATGCGCTGACATTGTCAGTCACCACTTGAACAACCAATTGCTCCCCAATCTCCTCAATAATCCCATCTAATAAATTAAAAATGAATGCATCATTTTTAATCTCATCTGAAGCTTCAACTGATTGTAAAAACACTGTGCCATAGGGATTGTTGATAAGGATGTTAACCAAGCTCCTGCTCTTCATGTCAGACCATCCATTTGACATAATGGTAACACCAGTCTCAATCCATGTCCGTTTAATCTTATCAACGCTCCGCTCTGTGTTCTGCAGCTCCTCGTTCAAAATCCATGTTGGCAACTCATACATGGATGGTGCCTTCAACCCTCTCCAATACAACCCTACAGACCGCAGCATATTGAAGTAGGCAGGCGATGTCACAACATTAAATGGTATGGCATTCTAAAAAAAAAACCTGCCAATATCCATGCAAACCTGGCGTCGACCCTCTTTGGTACCTGTCGCAGGCATCATCTCTGCTTGTCCTCTATCCTCTCCTGGATTAGTCATATACTGATCCATAGGACCCAGTGCACCTCTATTATGTATAGTGAAGGAAGAGCCCTTTCCACTCTCGCTCCTGAAGTAAGCACCATGTTCAACCCTTTCATCAAATTGCTCCTGTTGTAAGTGTTTTGCCGTGGTACTTTTCTTCATGTAAGCAATAATTTCATCATTCACCTTGTCCGACACTTTTGCACACGGTACTACGTTCTTATGAGAGCATGATAAGTGTTCCTTCATGCGGGTTACTCCACCCTTCACCACTTTTTCACAAAAATTGCATTTTAAATACACATACGTCTTCTCGCTGCCTCCTACGTCAACTTGCACACTATATTTCCAAGAAGGGTCACGCCACAATGACGTATTTGCCTTTTCCTTGCCTCTAACCATGTTTCCTATTGCAAAAATCCAAAAACAAACAAAAAAATTCAAAAAATAAAAAAAAACCCTAGATTTTCCTTCACTTGAAAAATCTAACCCTAAACTAAAAAAAATACCTAAAATCGATTATGGACTTCTCCTAGAGGGCGGCCGGACACTTCAAGCTCGCCGGAGAGAGGCGGCGCCGGCGGGAGAGGCGGCGGGAAGGGAGGCCGAGCGTGCGAGATCCCGTCTGTTTCGTGAACAGAGGCTGCAGGAAGGGAATTTTTGGGAAAACCTGGAGCCAAACGGGTTGAAGGGAAGGAAATGCTTCATTTTAAGCAGGTGGGACCAGTTTTGTGAGGCGTACGCCTCACCCATAATTGCGCAATTAAGGCGCGCCTCAAGCCCAGTGAGGCGTACGCCTCTACGAAGATGAAAATTGCGTAAGCCTCGAGGCGTTTTTGGGTAAATTATAGAATTAAATTGATTGTCTTGACAGAATGAGAAGGATCCATTTGAAATTAGGGCCTAAATTAGGGAGTTGATTGCAATTTACCGGTTATTACACCACATGTTCAAACGTTAGAGTTTACTGAAGCATTTGTTTGAGCAGATTCAGAGTTCTATTTTGTCATTACGTATGAAGCCATTGTATGTCTGCTTTTTCTAATCAAAAACTTGTCTTGCCAATTCAAGGGTTGTGGAAGCATTCTTTCTACATGCCATTCTTTATTTTGAATTATTCAGCAAATATTCTATTTAACTTAACATTCTTCGATGACTCTTTGAAAAGACTGCTATTTGATTTATGGCAGGATATAGTTTACCTTTTTTCAATCCTTGTTTTTCAAACTAGTAGTATCTCAAATTTTGCTTAATTTGGCGTTGACTAGTACTAACACGCATTTTCTGCAATAGGCCCGTGAAAAATATCTATCGCTGAAGAAAGGCACAAAAGCAGACATTACCTCTGTCTTAGAGGATGTAACTGCCTCTACCTTGTTTATATATTTGCATTATGTGAAAGAGTTTTATGAAGTCCTTTATGTATTTATTAGCATGGTTCTTACGTGAATATGTACGTAATCCAGGAGCTCTATAGTGCAAGATCTTCATTTGAGCAGGCCCGCTTTAATCTGGTAGGTGTTTCTTTGATTTGCTGAGCATTGCACATTTCTTGCCTTTCTTGGTGCAAGTTGTTGGCCTCTTTTCATTTATACCAGCTATGTTGACCAAGCAATTGCTGGCTGGGTTTGTAGCCGTAGTTATAATAATTGCTATGTGATTGTGTAAAGTCGTAATTACTCAGTACACTTAACTTATAGTTGACTGAAATAAAAGGGCTGTAGTAGAAGCTATGTTTTTTGAAGTAATTTTGCGAGTTTAATTCCGAGTAAGGAATATCTTATAATTTTACCTACAAGTAGGTGTAAAGTCTGTCGATCTGGTGGTAGGCATATTATAAAACTAACAAAAATCCAAGCTTTTTATTATAAATTAGATGTTCATGAGTAAAAAAATTGTAGCATCAAGGAGAAGTACCCGTGTTCAATCTCGCATATCTATTTATCCTATTGTATACTTTTCTTACGAGGCACCACTCTATTATGTCTAAAGGTTACTGCTCTTTCCAATATTGAGGCAAAAAAGAGAGTTGAGTTTCTTGAGGCTGTTAGTGGCACAATGGATGCTCATCTCCGCTACTTCAAACAAGTAATCTTTTTGATGGCATATTCATTCATTATTTTTCTTCCTTTTGTTGCGTGGCTTCAGCAGTTGTTCTTGTTATTAGGGATATGAGCTATTGCATCAGATGGAGCCTTACATCCACCAGGTTTGTTTTGATGGCCTTAAAAACATTAAGTTATGCGGTCTATAGAAGTGAAGTATGGTCCGTAACTTTGCGTAGTTTTTTTGAAGTGTAACAGTGTTTTGCAGTTATCATTTCTTGTATTTTAAGCATACTTGACTCGGGAAGCAAAAAGATGGAATATTTCAGTAGTAATTTCAAACATAAGCTCTACAGTTTCTATTTTATGCAACATCGCAATCAGGTCGTGTCCTGTATAAGAGGGCGCTTAACTATGTGGATAAGTTTTTGTTATTGTGTATAAATTGCCTGTTATGAAGTATTTTGCACTGATGCTTAAGATTTATTTCTTCTCCCATAAACCGCTGAGAAGGGGGCCTTAGAATTTTCAAGGTTACTGCTCTCTAAGAACTTCTCTGGTAAAACTTCAAGTAATTCCTGAGGATTGTTTACCATTTCAGTAGCTAGTTTAGGCATTTTTGTGAGGCTCAAAATCTCTCTGGTTCAAACAGTATTTCCTGACATTTCCCTTATTTTTAAAGTACATTATTGAAAAAAAGTATCAATGAAGCTGTTGTTTTTTTTAACCTTAACTAGATTTAATTATGGGTTCATAAACTTCTTTTTTTATTTTATTTTTGTGTGTGGTGTGGGATTTGGCTGGTTGGGTGGTGGGGGTAGGGGAGGTGAGGGGGGATGTATGTGTGGACATTGGCACGGGTGTGACAAAATACATATGGGATTCAAAAGTACTTATATACAAGTTGACACTACCTTTTTTTTTACATCAAAATAATATTACCAAAAAGTGAGAAGGTTACAAAATAACTTTAAAAAAATTGTCTATGTATCTAATTTGAAATGTGAGCAGCAGTTCCACATTTAGACTCTCATTAAGCCACGGGTTCCAGTCATCAGAGGAATTTTTGTATCTAACTTGAAATGTAGTAAACTTGGGGAATGAAGAAATGCTATTTTCTGACTTGTTTCTCTTGGAGAAAACACAAGTTGAAACTTTTTCTCCACTTAATCAACTAAAATTTTGATGGAATCTTGAGACTAATAGAGCTTCAATCATCAACAACCTCTACTTCAAAACTATCATGAGTAACATTTGGAAATATAGTTGTAACCTTTTTGAAAGATAGCTTTCCCAAACAAGGTTCTTGAAGTATCAACATGCCTGACATTGATATTTGCTAATGCCAAAGACGGAGGAGCAAATGGAAATTAACATCAAACATACTAACAACATGTAGAAGGCACTGACTCAAAAGTGGAAATCTAAGAGTAGGTTCCAGAGCATGAGACCATTCTGGAGGGGACAGGTCTAAAGGAACAACTTCGAATAATTTTATAAGTTCAACTAGATAATTTGTATTTATCACTCATAAACTCAACCTTCTTGAACAATAGGGCCCCAAAGGATGATTTTATTAATTTCAAATGGGCCTTAAAGTAATAATCAGTATATTCATGACTAAAGATTTTACAAGATTAACATTTTGAGGGTAAACACCCAAATTTCATTTTTTTGTCAATAACTAGATGTCCTAGTGTGCATCCATATCTCCCTTGTCAAAGAAGTAGAAACCTCACAAGAACTTAGGCTGTAGACGATGGAGAGAGTTTTGCGATAGTACTATCCTCTTGTATCGGACTATCGGTTGCCAAAAACTGATCCGAATGAGTATATTGTAGATTGAATAATAAAGTGGACAAAAGTATGAGGGAAAATTATCCATGTTGTGGTAATAGGAGGCTCCTCAGAGATACCAAAGTTTAGAAATTATTTTAGCATACGCATTGGTAGACCATTCACATGATATGAATGAGAAGAGAAAAGTTCTGAATAATCTAATTCCAAAAATAGATTGATAAGCCCATGACAATGATTTAGGAGTCTAATAGAGAAATCATCAATTAGGTATAAATCATATCGGAAAATACTTATATCTCAGAACTTTGGTAACCAAAGTTAAAATTTTCAATTAAATTGTAGACAAATGATAATGCTAGATAAAAAATGCCAGCTTTAGAAAAAAATAAGAGCAAGTTTACTATGAAATGTAATTGGTAGTTTGTATCGCTCAGAATTTGAGCCGTGCTAAATGAATAAAGGAAATTTGACTGATAAATTTTGTTGTAAAGAACCCTTACCCCTAAGTGTATCTACAAACGAAAAAGTGGGAACAAATGGCACAATAGGGAAACAACAGTAGCATGATTATGTATAATTGTAGGAGATGGTGGTCTATTGACATCGTTGGCACAAAAGATATGTAATGGGAAATGAAAGCACTATCCTCAACCACATAATGGGAAACTCTTGTAGAAGTCAAGAGTAAACCTAACAATGATTGATTTCAGCATTTGGCAACACAATTTTGAAAGAAAAACCAAAGGAAGTAGCACAATCAACGTAGCATTAGATGAAATCTCAAAGAATATAACAAGATACAATTGATCCTCAATTAGAGAGGATGATCTAATCTCTCATACATTTCTAGATGTCGCTAGAGCCTAAGCACACAAAAACACAAGAACAAATTCAACACAATGACAATATATCACAACCTAACCCCTCTGATGTAGAACCAAGTAGTCATATGGTTGGACAATTCAAAATCTGAAATTTAATTTCAGATTTTAATGTTTGGAGAGGAGGGAAAAGTTTGAATTTGAATCTTCTCCAATTAAAGGAGGGAGGAAGGGTGCGCCTACCCCTTGATGGGGATTTAATTGAGTGATTAAGAGGGGTTGCTAAGTTTGAAAATTGAAATTAGGAAAGGAGATTTAGAGTATCTCCTTTTCAAAATTTAAATTAATTTGAATGGTGGGGTCTTTCCTAATTTAACCCATCTATTTTAGGAAAATAATTTTAGATTTTAAATAATTTAAAATTTGATTTGACAACTTTGATTTTGAATTGGGAGGGAAGCAAATTCAAAATTTATGAAATGAATTTCAACCGAAAGGGTGGAGGTAGTTGGGGAATTGATAGCTTAATTGGGGGAGCTTTAATGGGCCTCCTAATTAGAGGAGAGAGAGAGAGAGGGGGCGACTAAGAAGGGAAGGGGAGAGCCCACATGCATTAAAGAAGATTGGGGAGATTAGGGGATTTAATTGAGTTTCCAATCTAAGTCAATTTAAATTAGGAAAGAGAATTTAATACAAATTATCTCTCCAATTTAAATTCAAATTTAAAAGGCCTTGATTGGAGGGACATTCTTAATATAACTCATCCTATTTAAGGAAAGAAAATTCAAATTCCAATAGATTGGAATCTGAATTTAAAATTTTTTCCTAATTCAAAATGCATTATTAATTGAAAGCATCAATTTGGGGATTTAAAATTTGTAGGCAAAGGAGGGGGTATTGTGGCCGACGGCTTGGAGGGGAAGGGTTTTAGGGTTTGGGCCGGTGGCTAGGAAGAGGATGGATTTTGAATCGGTTCTTGGGAGGAGGAGATGAGTGGTTTCGGGTGTGGGGATTCGGCCAAGAGAGAGAAGGGATGATGGGGGTTTGTCTTAGGGCTAAGGTGGGGAATTTCGGCCAAGGGTGGGAGAGGGGTAAAGGGGGGCTGGTGGCTAGGAAGGAAGGAGGGGAAGTGGCGGAGAAGATAAACCATGAGCTCGGACGCTTTTTTGCAGTTGATGGGTAATGCTTTGCCCTCACCTAGGGAATTTAAACCATGACCCGGGACGCTTCCTGTGGCTGGTGGGTAGTACATTTCCCTCACATAGGAACTTCAACTCTCATAAAAACTTTCAAAGCTCTTAAGAACAAGAGTGCATAATTTTTTTTCTTAATAATCATCTATCCCCTCAAAAGAAGAGGAGGGGGCTATAAATTGCCAAAATACAATAATAAGACAAATGACAAAAGTGCCCCTTGGGGTCACATATGCCTACTCCCTCAAGTGGGTAAAAATAGAAAATGCATAAATAAATCCAAATACAAATAATAACTCAAAATAAAGTGGTATAATCATGGTCGTCGATCTTTGGCTCATCTTCTGTTAAACTTTCACGGTCGGATGTTCTCATCACCCTCTCATATATTTATAGCATAAAAAAATAATCTCAATTACTAATTAGCCCCTCTCCTAAATCAAATCATACCTAAAACAACCCCCCTCATTTTTGGTCCAATCTTGCCAAAATTCTCGCTTCCTCTTTAAGCAATGGCCCCCACCAATTAGCCTCCCATCCCCTAATCAGAACTTACCAAAAATCAATGTTTCCCTTTCAAACAATGGGCCCCACATTGGGCTGACGGCTGGTTAGGCAAAATATTAGGCCTTCGCTTGTTGTAGACCTATGTTGCACCGATACGGATACGACGACATGGATACGATACATATATGGGACACGACAATTCTAAAACATACAGGATACGGATACGGCGCGGATACGACATTATAATATATAAATCATAAATAAAAATAACAAATTAATTAAAGCATAATATTTGAAATGACAAAAAAAATTGAAAGCAACAGTATTTGTAGCATTGTATCTTATAATATCAAAATAAAAGTAAACATTAAATATTTAAATGTCTAGTACAAAAAAAAAAAGCATAAATTGTCCAGCAAATGAAGTTTTTAATTATAAGTACAAAGGTTTGATACAATTAATCCACATTAATTTGAAACATGAATTTTTTTTAATAAAAAGTATAGATATGTTGCGCCTATGCCGGGGGTCCAATTGGGTTGGCTGGATCTATCCCTCTTGGATTGATTTATCAATACCCTGTTCTCAAAGATCCATCTTGTCCTCAAGGTGAAAAATCGAAAATTGATGTTGCATCATCTCGTAAGGTTTGCATGTAGCATTAGAATCGAGAAGGTTCATCCATTTGATCAACACTTCTTTGATCCCTCCTCCCTGGCATACCCCCTTGCAACTCTAGTGGTTCTAATATCACTTCCAAATCTGATAGGAAATACTTGAGTTCGCAAGCAAACCTATCTCCAATTGGTGAAAAACAGCGAGAATAATGTGAAATCTTGGTGAAAACAATCCAAAACAATATATTGCGGTAGGAAAAGCAAAGTCAAACAATACGGAAAACAAGATACAAGAGATCCTCAATTCGAGAGGAGGATCGTCTCTCCGAAATCTCTAGATTAGAGTGTATAGAGCCCAAGTCGCCAAGAAATTCTAATTGAGAGCAAATCAAACATAACCTCTTCCTAATCCTCTCATGCACTTTAATACAAAAGCTTTCCTAATCTAATTTCCTTCCCAAAGCTCTAGCCGCCCCCCTCTATTCAATTTGAATTCACTTTGATGGGTGGGACCCATCAATTGGGCGGAACAAAGGAGGAGGCAGACACAGTATGCCTCTTGTATATTTGCTGAGCCGGCCAATGGGCCGGCTGGGCCGGTTTAGACTGAACCGGCGTAACAAAATCTTCAGTCAATGTTGCTGGCAACTCTTAACTAGCAGTGTGATCCCTTATAGGTGTCCTCAGTTGTGAATCGCAGAATATCAGATGTATGATAGTGATCAGAGGCATCTTCAGGATATGCCACAGCTTCGATCCTTTCTTCTATCTCAAAGGGACCAAAGTACCGCGGGGCCAACTTCTTATTCCTCCTAATTGCCATTGTCCATTCCCTGTAGGGGCGAAGCTTCAGATACGTACTATATCCCCTCTATATCCCCTTCCTCAAACTGGAATTCCTTCCTGTACTCATCCGCCTGTCTTTTCATAATTTGTTGGGCTCTCAATAGATGTCTTTTCAGTTCCTTAGTGTTATGTTTCTTTCTTCCAAGTACTACTTTATTGAAAAAATTGATGTGTTATTCTACCCAAAGTGTACCAAGTGAGGTGTATCCCTGTCGTACAACACTTTGAAAGGATTCATCTGGGACAGTGAATTGTACAAAGTGTTGTACAAGTATTCCACCCATGCCAGCCACTTAGCCCACAGTCGAAGTGTCTCTGAAGCAAAGCATCGCATGTATGTCTCCAAGCTCCTATTGACCACCTTTGTCCATCCATCCATCTGAGGGTGGTAAGGGGTTCTCCTCTTTAGTAAGCAGTCATAGAACTCCCTTCAACTTCGAATGTGTTCTCTACTGGTGCCAGGCCAATACCTTTCCTTCCAAACACAGGCCAACTGTCATCAATTTCTCCTTCTCCATCAACCCGTTGTCAGCGAAGTACATCTCTACCTTTTCGAACCACCGATGTGCGTCCTTGCATTCAAAGATGGGTATCTTCGACTTCCTTACCCTCGGAACGCCTCTGTTTCCCCTGAATCCTCCGTAGCCTCTCATTCCCCGAAGGGGTGGTGTTCCCCAAGTGTCTCGATCTTCCCTTCTACACTCGTACCTAGACCATTCTTCAAAATCCCCCTCCTTTAAAATCAATACCCCGACACTCATAATCCACCCCTCTTCTTGTAAAATAAGCACCTCGTCGCTCGTACCCAATACTCATCTCCTCCCTATAAATAGGCTATAGCAGAGGCATCACATCTTCTCTCTCCAGAATCTCCACCTCTTGATTCACCCCTCCCCTAAAAGGATTAGGGATTCCTCCTCATCCTTGGACGCCTGTGGGTTCCTTCGCTTCTGAGGTCATCGTATTGGGTTTGGCTTCAAGCAACTTCTTAAGTATATCTTCAATGACGACGAACTTTTCATTTATATTTTCATGGAAGTATGTTAATTGGTTTTGATAATCTGAAAAATTTTCCACAATTTTATTTCAGTTGGCCTAATTCCCCCTCCAACACTACTGCTTTCCTTCCGGCCATTGGCACCCTAGATCGAAGGGCTATGATACCAATTTGTTAGGAAGTGGATGCACTTTTCACAAAAATCAATTGATGAAATACAAAAATTTGAGAATAAAAAAGCCCAAAAATAATTTTTATTGAAATAATTATAAAGAGAAATGCAAGATACAATTGGATCTTCAATTAGAGAGGAAGATCCGGCTCTCCCAAATTCCTAGTCACCTGCTAGAGCCCAAATAACCTAAGAATAAACTTCCTTCAAGAAACTCCTCATAACATACTTAAGCATACAATCCTTAGGTAAATCCCAAAACCACCCCTTCTATCTGAATTTTCCATCCTAAACCCCCTTAATTTTCTCATAATTAAACTGCTTGTTCCGCCTCTGGTAATAGAGAACCGGTCCTGTTTGAACCGGTCTATCAATATATTCACTTGTTTAGTTATTTTGGTCAACTTATTGCTTCCATTCAACAGAAAATGTTACCTAGCTGATGATTTTTAAAACCCAGGGACCTCAATATGGGTTGGGTTGATCGCTTGTCTATTGGGGGATGCTAGACTAATTGAGAATCCATAGACGATAGTAGCCGATTATTCTTTAGATGGGAAGGCTTATCTGATTATTGTTACTAATTTTAAGAATCACATTCATTTTCCTCTGTTAATTTCATGCATAACCAAAAAATTTCGTGCATATATTTTGTGAATTCAGTTCGAGTTCACTTATTTACACATCCTAGTTAAGACATTCCAATTCTTAGTGATTTATGAAATATCAAAAAGCATACATTTTCTTATCTTCCTAGTTACAAACTACAGCATTTTCCAGAGACCATTAGCCATTGGTTGCCTGATTTGAGTACTGATGAATACTTGATGATTTGAAGGTTCTCGCATATGCGCAGCAATCAAGAGAGCGGTCCAACTATGAGCATGCAGCCCTTACGGAGAGGATGCAGGAATTTAAAAGACAGATTGATAGGGAAAGTAGGTTATCTTCAAATGGGTCAAATGAATCTCCAAATGGTGATGGTATACAAGCTGTTGGTAGGAGCTCTCATAAAATGATTGAGGCTGTAATGCAGACTGCTGTCAAGGGGAAGGTAATTACTTTTGTTTAAATTTTGAATTCTCCAGCAACTTGTACATGTTGGTTGATTTCACTGCTGATTATGTCAGCTGAACTGTTGAAAATCATTTCCATTCAGTAACTTTTGTATAATGTTATATTAAGGCTTTTCTATGATTGAAGAAAGGTGGAGGAAATGAAATGCAATATAAACAAATTTCTTGGCTTGTGGTGGATTATGATTCTGCATGGAATGATTTGAATTATTCAATCATTTTTTCATATACTTTCACGCAAGTGCCTTGTAATTCTCACACTATCTAAATGTTTTTTGTTTTAATTTTAATGGCGAACTTTATTTGATCAATGAGTACTTTCAGTTTCGATACTAATTTAAGCATGTATTTGATAATTCAGGTTCAAACCATTCGACAGGGTTATCTTTCAAAGCGCTCATCTAATCTACGAGGTGACTGGAAAAGAAGATTTTTTGTGCTTGATAGTCGAGGAATGTTGTACTACTATCGTAAGCAATGGAGCAGGCCATCTGTATGTCTTTTTTTTTTTTGAGAAATATTGTACTCATAGTTACTTAATAAATGAATTCACTAATACTGGCCCCTTTAGCTTTTATATGCTTCTGACGTGTATTTCCAGCAAAGCCATTTCTACCATTATCTGGAACTACTTTCTGAAGATGTTTTTATGCTATAGGGTGCTGGAGTTCATTCTAGTCAGAGGAGTCATGGCTCATCAGAACATAGTTCTGGGTTGCTGAGTCGTTGGTTCTCCTCTCACTATCATGGTGGAGTACATGATGAAAAGTCTGTAGCACGCCATACTGTGAACCTCCTTACTTCTACAATAAAAGTGGATGCAGATCAATCAGATTTAAGATTCTGTTTTAGGATAATTTCACCAACAAAAAACTACACATTGCAGGTAAGCTCCTAGTTCATCAGGAGCCTGATAAGCATGCAATTATGGTTTACTATAGCTTCCCTGTTACTATTATACCCTTTGTGCATACTCACATGTGGGGTTTGTTGCCCTTGATTTTAGTTGTCATGTATCTGAATGTAGGTTATCTTTTTGTTTACCCAAGGTGTAGTTCACTACGTGATTTTTGCACTATAAGGCTCAAGTAAATCGATAGTTGTTTATTTGTATCTCAAATGTATAGGATATTTGCACCCCTGGAGGCCCTGGATTATTAATAATTTGTTCTGCGTATGTATGGGTCACCTAAATACTTCATGCTTATTTATACTTCCGCATTTCTTATATTGTTCACAACTCTGAACTTTCAATATTGTGCGAAACTGTTTAGCAATTTTTTATTTGAAAAACTGGGTGTAAAACAGTTCTCATCAAGCGAAGGAAGTGTTTGTAAAACTGTTTAGCAATTGAAATACAAACTGGGTCACTTCATCTCTCTCTCTCTCTCTCTCTCTCTCTCTCTCTCTCTCCCCCTGTCTGTGGTAAGGATAGTTTTCTCATTGTTAAATGTGAAAAAATATGTTCAGTCGCTACTTCTTTTTCATCCCACCATATATGATTGGATATTCCTTCCTGACTTGTACTTTAATAAGAATGACTTTTTTGGCGCTTCTTGTTTACATGGTGGTCCTTTATGCTCGTGGACATGTAGGATGGTGTTTAATTGGAAACCTTGGTGCCTTCTTGTTTGTTTGTTTTAAAGGATGTTCTGTTGCTAAATTCCCTCCCTTTTAATGATTGATTTATCATGGTTATTTTAAAATTTTTTGATGGATTGGTTACTTTACAGAATGTTTTATTAGATCTCGGCATGCCAATATGTTGCTTGATTTCAGATATTAATTGTCGAAGTATCTTACATCTTGTAATTTATCGTGCGCAGGATACCCGGCATAAAATGTTGTGTATTGTCGATAAAATTATGTACCTATTTAATTTTCTCTCAAATCAAAGTTAAAATGCGGTGTGAATAATTATTGTTTTTCCTCTACTTTAGAAGATAAGTTCATAATCATGGTCTATTCTTATGTTGCAATAATTTTTCGTTGCATCTTATTTCTCAGATTATTTTTCTACTATTATATTGGTTTTCTTGTACGAAGCAATCATAATGGATTCGTCTTTTTCAAGACTTTGATGCGTTATTTGTTTGACCCTTTTTTAACTTATCTTAGTTATTTCTGCCATCTTATCTATTAAGACAGGCTGAGAGTGCAATTGATCAGATTGATTGGATTGAGAAGATAACCGGTGTTATTGCTTCTTTGCTTAGTTCCCAATCACCTGAGAAGGTTAGAATAAGTAATTTCTATTGAAGTTTCTGTATGATTTTCTTGGTTCAATTTACAAAGTTGTTTCTCACTTAATTTCAGCACCTCCTTACTAGCCCCATGAGTAGTGGTCATCATCGCACTGCCAGTGAGAGTAGTTCATTTGACAGCTCAACTGATCTTGATCACGTAGCAATTGAAGAATCTTCATTTGAACGGAATAGTGCTACTGGAGCATCTGAGCGTTTTCACCGAATCTCACAACAACATAGGTTCAATATCAAGCATGAAAAGCCAATTGATTTGCTGAGGAAAGTCTGCGGAAATGATGTTTGTGCTGACTGTGGTGCTCCTGATCCTGACTGGGCATCCTTAAACCTTGGAATTCTTGTATGCATAGAATGTTCTGGGGTACATCGCAATTTAGGTGTGCACATATCTAAGGTATCTGCATTTTGATTTCTAAATACTTGCATGCCCTATCACTTAGTCCAAAACCAATATGTTTAGTTCTGCATGGTTATTGGCATGTTATCATGTGAACCAACACTTTCTGATAGTATATTATTACTTGCATCCATTTTTTACTCAATATTTTATAACCTTCTTTAACTGTCTTTTCTTAGCATTTTCTCAAAGGTTCTTATGTTAATATATTTAACTGAATGTTTAAGGTTTCATACTTAAGGTGGTGAGACCTGCAATGCTTTATGGCGCAAAATGTTGACCATTAAAAGAGAAACATAATATTGAGTTAAGCATTGCTGAGATGAGGACGCTCAGGTGGATGAGTGGATTTACTCTTAGAGACAAGATACGAAATGAGCATAATCGTGAAAATGTTGGAATAGCTCCATTGACAGATAAGATTAGAGAGAGTCGCCTTAGATGGTTTGGTCATCTAATACGGCGGCCTTCCGATGACCCTGTCAGGAGAGTGGATGTATTAGATTTGGCCTATGTTAAGAAAGGTAAAGGTAGACCTAAAAAGACTTGGTTAGAAAATATTAGAAATGACCTTTGTTTATTTGATTTAAATGAGAATTTGACTCTTAACATGACACAATGGAGAAAAATGATTTATGTAGCTGACCTCACATAGTGGTATAAATGCTTAATGTTGTTATTGTTGTTTGTCTAAGGTTTCGTACTTGCTCATTGTTTTGAATATAGGTGTAAAAGTGTGGAGTCGAGCTCGAGTCACAGCAAACTCGAGCTCGACTCATCCTTTAACTCTCCAACTTGAGAGCTCGACTCAAGCTCAATGGGAGTTCACTTGCGAAGCATGGAGGAAAAAATGTTTCACTAGAAGGATGATGGACGAATCGACGAAATCACTCAGCAAAGCTAGTTGGAGAAGAAGCACCAAAAAGTTTGTTTTTTTTTTAATAAGTGCTAGCAGCAGAGAAGAAGAGTCTTTTTTTTTTTGTAGAAGAAGGTAGCTACATTTGTTTTAATTAGGGGTGTCAAAACGGGTCAATGGGTCAGGTTTGGGTCCAACCTGAATTGTCCTGAATCTAAATGAGTTGACCCTAACCCAACTCGATTTTGTAAATGGGTCGAGAATTCCAACCTGGACCCGACCCTCGAGGGTTGTTGGATTGATCCGACCTGACTCGCAAACACGGAACCACGGGCAAAGTCACGTGTAGTAGGGTCTCGTTCGTGGGTGCGGGTGCGGGTGCGGTGCCATGCGTGCGATAATTGTCGGAGTAACATAATTGCAATAGGTCAGACTTCCATCTCGCTGCCGATTCCACTTACCTCGCTGCCTGCGAACACCCCTTTCACCCATTTGGCCAACCCGACACTGCCCCCAATTCGATCTTCCGCCTCCCACCAAAGCTTCCTCCCCACCCTTGATCCCGCTTCCTTGAAAAAACACGAAGTCCCCTCACGCTGCAGCTTTCGCAGTTCCTCTCCTTTCTCTCACCCTCCATTATCTCTTTCGCCAAAGAATGTTCTCCACCTGCCTCTATAGCTTTGTCTGTTGCAAAACCTTCCCAAATCCTCCCAACAGAGGCCAGTCTCCTCTTCTACATGCTCTCTTGACAAGGACTCTGCCATACAGAGATCTGTCTCAAGCAGTTAGAAGCTGGATGTGGAGGTACAATGGGAGGAGGACGTTAAGATGATCAACATGTTCCTGCGCCAGTAGATGGAAACGATCGGTATGTATTTGGATGGTCAAGCCGTGAATCCTCGACGAGGCAGGTGTGTGGACTCAAGTCCGCTGCGGGATCCGTGTCACCCAGGTCATCTTCGGGTTTTCGAGTCAAATCGAACCTGACCTGATTTTTTAGAGTGGTTAGAAATACAAACCTTGACCTAACCCGTTTTATAAACGAGTTGACCCGAACCTTGATTTTTTTAGTTCAGGTTTTGGGTCGCGTCAACTTTTGACAGCCCTAGTTTTAATGGCTTTAAATGTTGTATGCTTTTTCAGCAAACTTTTGCAGGTGTTTTAAATGCAAATGATTTATTAAAAGAAGTGAGTTTTTTTATGTCTGTATATCGATTAGAAGGCAAAAACATATTATGCATAGGCAAATACAAATAGATTATGCGAGTGCAAAATGCCAAATACATTATACGTATGTGTATTAGCATTTATCAATGTGTTAATTTTGTTTTGCAAGTACACTGCAAAGCATTCTGCATATGCTCTGATATTTACATCAAGCTCCTAAATTCAAGATCCGAGTATGATTTGTGAATTTACTAATAGTGCTCAAACAATACGTTAATAGACGTGTCGACAAAAGATTTTAATTGAAGTGCTATTAAATTTTCAAAATGCCTTCAAAATTCTAAAGTCATCTAGCCAAAATCTATTAAGAATATAAACTCTTAAAATAAAATCCATTACAAAAAACTTAAAACCAAAGCCCATCCACACATCACAACAGTTTGACAAAGATGATGAATTTAACAATAATTTCATCTCATAAAGAGTTGATGTCTTGTTGCATGTATTATTACGATTCATTCTCAATTAATTTCTTGCTAGTAGGGACGTGGCACATGCCCTCTAATTGAGTGATTTTGCTGCCAAATGACACCACTATATTACTGTCGCGGCCAATGCAATATGTTCACTAATGGTTAGAAGCCCCTTGAATAATAAATTATAGAGTATGCTCAATAAGATATAAAGTCCACTGTCAGCTAAGGTTGACTTAAATTCAACCTTCTTGATAAACATCCAGCCCAAGTCTACAAGGTGCTCTTGGACGATGCAATCCATGGATGCTGACTAGGATCCTTCTGTCAGGTTAGGTCGACTACCTCCTTTGATTAAGTAGATTAGGGACCATGAATGCTCTAGACGACGGAATCATGAGATCTTGATCGTGCTCGTCATCATTCCCCCATCACCAGTTTAAGTATATCGTGATAAATTTCAAATCATAAACTCCAAAATCCAAAATTAAATTCTAACCCTAAAATCATTGATATTATATGTTAGGTAGTTAAAAAAGGTAATTATTATGATTTATTTAAAGACTAGCCTTAATCGAAAGTTCTCTCTCATCATCATAATGTGTAATTAATCATAGGAGCTTGCTCCTATGGGAAATCATAACTCAGATCATAAAGTCTTCGCAAAATGAGGATGAAATCTTTGAGTAGCATCTTATATAAAATCTAATATGCCTTAAAAATTTTTACCTCAAAACTTAAATCTGTTAACACTCTCCCTATTAATAAAGAGGTGCGGAGAGGTTGGAGTGCGAATTTTCGGAGCCCTCGGACGAGTCTTTATAGAATGTAGAACAGGAGCATATTCACAATATTAGTATGATGCACAAACACTTCTTAAAGAGGTTTTAGTGTTCTACATGTGTTAGACCCAAATATACATTTAACACACCTCTAGCATGTGCGGACTTGGCAAAGACATGTCCGATTAAAATAATTTTTACAAAATTTGCACATTCCTCAAATAAATCATCCGAACTCAATACCCAGTTCCCCAAATATTCCCATCCTCATTTTTCTCTAACGGGGCACAATAGCAAGGTTTTGAGGTGTAAGCACTGCTGCTAGCGGGAAATCCTTCTCTATACAAGTTCTCGTACGAGGTTTTTGAACAGAACTTCGATAGGCGAGAGGTGTAAGCACCGCGAGGTGTGAAGCGATCTCGCATTGAAGTCTGACGTTCTCTAAACATTGATATATGATACCATCATGACATCAAAGTTCTTTGTCGTCTTGGCTTGATGCCTTATGCTAGCAATTTATCCACTTATTGTCACGTCCTTGCGTTGTCTCAACATCTCGTCTTTCTCCAATACCGTATCAACATCGACAGTTGACGCAGTTTTGACATCAATGCCCATTGCAGGACAATGACACCCAACTTTTGACAATGTTGTTATATCCTTGGTGCTAGGCACGCAACATCAGCGCCTGCTTTTTAACATCCTAATCTTAATAATTTTAAGCACAAATCCTTGTTAAATGACTTATCATTCATTTATTATTTTTAATATTTTCTATGCACTATTTTTAAGATACAAAAATTACACTATTGTATCCAACCAATATCTGTTTCCTATATTTTTCAATAATTGAAAACTTGCCTTTTTTGTGTTGTGTCATCTCCATGTCACCATGTTCGTGTTTATACATCCTAGTTCTACATCCTAGCTCTATTAGTTAAACCTAGCCATTACTGATGTAGACAAAGGGGGGTCAACTCATGTCCAAAATAAATCAAATTTGGCTTCCCTTGAGTCTACAAGCTCAATAAATTTTGAGCTGGAATTTAGCTCATTTATAAGCTGGTTTTTAGTTCATTTATTGAACTAAAGGTTAGCTCATTATTAGCTAGGTTTTAGTTCATTTATTACCTTATTTATATAGCTTTATCTTTTAAAATTCTATGTTTGTCCCTTGGGATTCCAAAATGGCTTTTGGAATCCCAAGAAAATGTGTTTTCCCATGCCATGGCTCCTTGGCTTCCACAGGTGGCTTTTTTCCGTGCAAAGCTCCTTGGTTCTCATGGTGGCTGTTGGTTTTTCGAGCTTGGGGGGTTTTCCCGTGGCTTTGGCGCCTCGGTTCCGTTCGGCTCCTTTGGTTCCCGTGGTTGCTCCTTCGGTTCCTGGGCTGGGCTATTTTTCGTGAATGCATGGGGGGATTTTCGTGCTTGTGTTGCTTGGATTCATGTGTGAATTCAATGCCGTGTCCTTTTGTATTCCCTTCTCATACCTATATATATGAGATGTTTAAGAGTTGTAATGATAGGTTATGTGATTGATTTTTGGAAATGTAAACCTGTGGGTTTCATTGGAAAAGCTTGCGAGCTTTGTCCATTTCTTCTTCTCATCCCATCCGGAAATCTTGCGAGCTCTTTCCAACCTTCGTCTTGGCTTCTAACCTCTTTCGTCTCTCCGCAAGTGCCACTTTATCTGTATCATTCTTCTCAAAGTGAAGCATGTTTAGGGTGTCTTGTTTGAGTCAAGTTTGTAAGTTGTCAAGTTGTAATAGTTTTTATAAAATGATTTATTTGTGTCTTTATTTGTGTCTCTTCTATTACCCAGTAGAGTCTTTATCTTGTTAAGCAAAAAATCAGGGTCCCCCGGATTTTTTGCTTACATCAATTACTATAACAGTTCCGCTATGATAATTACTAATGGTTCCATAATAAAATAAACACACCTACAAGTTTATGTTTATCTCCCATTACTTTATTTTATTGCCTAGTCAGCCTAGCTAGAGTGCTAACGTTAAACTCATATACCTTTTTGTATGCAAGGGACAACCTGACTTAACTATTTTGCATTTTCTGCGGATTTGCCTCACGAAAAATTCTCTGATTCCCCGACTTCGGTCTCCTAGTGAAGGATGTTGTGTCATGATTTGCCCCAATAAATTGTAATATTATGATGATATAAGTTGAAAGGAGATATGTGATGGACCGGCTGAGCCGGTTCATCCGAAAAGTTCTTTCTCTTTTCCTTCTTGTTTTCTCTAGGGTTTCTTTTATTTTGTCTTGAAGATTAATGCAAAGCTCTTTTGTTCTACCTCTCATTCTTCTTGTTTTGAGTAACTTTGATTTGGTGGAGAAACTTCATCCTTGAAGGTAAATTAGGGTAAACTCTAATTCGTGAAACCTAAGGCGTATCAATATGTTGTTAGGTCTTCACTTTCCTTGCCAGTTTTTTTGTTATTTGTTCATGTTCTTTACTCTATTGTTTGTTTTCTAGCAAAAAATATTGTAATTAGTTTTGATAACTCTTGCATGCTAGTTCTCTGTTTTCTTTATTAAGACTACTCCATCTTATTGGCTTCAGTATTTGTAATTTTATAGCCCTGATTAATGTATACCAACCAGAATTTATACTTACATCTTCTCTTAAGGTTTCAATTGCTCTATGTATTATTTTTGTCCTGATCTAGTTGATTGTTTTAGACTGAGGAAAGGTCTCAATGTTCAAATAAGTTGGTGGAAAGTGATGAGAAGAAAAATGAATTGAGGACCTATCAACCCTTCTCTATTCAATTTGTCGCTTTTAAAAGCTTTCTGGTGAAGCATTTTTTTGAATTGTCAGGACTCCTACATTAAATGTAACTGCAATGGCTGCGAAATGTTTTTTTTTCATGAATGATATATTGTTGGGCCAACATTTTTGACATAAGTTGGTATAATGCGTAAATTTATGCATTCAATCAGAGATGTAAAATGAGAGTTACGGAGCACGGTCAGATTGAGTCCATGGTGTCTTGGAGATCGTGGGCATGAAAATAGCCTTTATACTATATATGATGCTTGCTACATCACCATCTCCCTAAATTCATCATTGGCGGGCATCGCGTGCATTAGATACACCCTTTTCATCTGAATTTCCAAAGTGCTCATCCATGGTTCGTTGGAAGGGACTGATCCAACGGCAAACATGAAATACACTAATGTTTTTTGTAGAATTCGACATGTTTATCTGTTTTGAGCTCTCTTTCTGAGTCAAGGTTCTGTTCACAGGTGAGGTCTCTTACACTTGATGTTAAAGCATGGGAGCCTTCAGTTATTAATTTGTTCCAATCATTGGGTAATACATTTGTAAATTCAATTTGGGAGGAACTTCTTTTCACTAGTAACAGAAAACATGAGGATGGCTCTTGGTAATATTATTGGGTATCTTGAATATGCTTTCACATCCGCATTCCTTTAGTTGCACCATTGGGAAAGTCATGCTGATGCAACTACTTATAAGTAATTTGTCCTCTTGTTGTTGCAGTTTCCACAATATTGACAGAAAGCAACAACATATATTAATCCGAAAGCCAAGGCATAATGATCCTATATCAGTGAAGGAGAAATTCATTCAAGCAAAGGTACTTGTATCAAGTTGACTTGCACTCCTGCATCATTTGGGCATACAATTGTATGTTTTTTTTTTGCTTTTATAGGCCACAGTATCTCTACAGATGGGTTTAAGAAACCTATTACCATGTTCTGGATAAATGATTCATTTTTAGTAGAGTAATGGATGAGATATTTCTCTTGGTCTTTTACTTTGAATTCAGCTAAGTGATCCAAGCAGAGTCAGTGCTTATAGAGGAGAAACAATTGCGAGAGGCAATATAGGTTGTAATCTTTGAGGGGTATGGTGCTGATGTTTTCATAGGTTGAGTTGGTGTCGTTCTATTTTGTAGGTATATGCCTATTGTTTGTTGTATTGAAATGTGCAAGGTAGCGCATTGTACTTTAGAAGCAAAACCTTGCTTCAACACTTTAAAGCACACATTAATCCAATTTTTTGGGTTAAAAGAAAGTACTCTCTCTTTGAATTACTTTATCATTGTGCTTTTTAGAACATTGTTTGAAAGTGATTTTGGAATGGGTGCATGATGGTGACTGGATATTTTTGTGATTGTTAGTAATTCATATCATGGAAATCCTAATTTAGACATACATGTCTTGCAAATGGCATTAATTGAATTGTTACTTGAGATAAAGGGCATAACTTTGGGTTGCAACTCTCTCGATAATGTGGAGTTTGAGGATGCATTGATATATGTAGCCTCTTTTCTTATATTTATCAAGAGGGGGTTCTCATAACTCAAACCCTTGATTGCTTGATCACAAAGGAGGAACTCTAACCACTTTACTAGGCTTGCCCAAAGAGATGAGTCAACCATCAATTTGAATTATTACAACACTAAATATATCCCTCTTCAATGGTTCTCCTAAATTATCCATGGTTACTTGATATGCAAATTAAAAACTTGTGATTATTTCTAGCATTAACATTTATCCTTGAAAATTTACTTTGGTGCTTCATATCTGATTTTTTGTAATGCCTGTATGCTCTTCTTATGAACTTTTTCTCTATGCATGAGTTTTAGAGATTTTTATCATGATCTTCTCTGATTGAGTTGAGCAAGTGACATACGTGCAAGTGCGTATACCTTATGTGTATTTCTAAAATTTACTCCATCAATTATGATCTCGCATACTAATCTATGCATGTATTCTCTTGTTTTTAATCATGCCCTTCATGGCTTGAGACTGTTGGAGAATTTTTGTATCGGGTTGATTCGAAATATTCGTCAACAGAGACAAGCAAGTGACATACTTGCAAGTACTTATACCGCATATGGAATTCTATGGTTTATGATTATATTTCCTTTGAAACTTTGGATATCATTGTTTTAGATGAGTAAAATTTCAATCTTAATAATTTTTCCTTTTATAGGTTGAATTTAACATGCACATTTTGATATTTATTAAACCTAAAGGACATGTAAAGTTAGGCTTATTATTTATCATGTTAAATTTGAATTGGGCATTTAAATGCATCTTTAAATGAAGTTGACCGAGGATGGAGATTATGATTTGTGGCGACGTTCCGTTTAACTCTATATGCAAGGAATTTTTATGTTCCAAAGATCAAGGCTTTGGGTTGTTTTGATTCGTAGAGCCTTTGTAGGTATTTCTTTCAAGACTATGGGATTAGCCTTGTTTATAAGTTAAAGAACATACATTTAAAAAATATACAATTCTTTATCATTAAGGTTAAGAGGAGCCTTTTCAATAGGAAACCTCAAACCAGGTTATCCTTATTGCCAATTAATGAACTAAAAAAAATTGTACACTTTGAGGAGATGACTAAATGAATGAGTTGAGAATTGTAGCTTAACCCATGTTGAGTGGTCCTCTCTTGAGTTGTCTTGCTCCTTTATTTTTGCTTGAATCTTCTCATTGCCATCGTCTTCTTTTTCTCCTTGCCTTGATGAATTGTCGTATCACCTCTTGAATAACCCCAATTCACTTTCTTCCCTTTTCCTCTTGGGTGGAGTGACAATTGGAGAGAAAAAGTGGTGTGGAACCCAGCAGAAGTCCTCCTCGAACACCTGCAACTGAAGACCTTGCTGCAAGACTAACACCAGCAATGCAACAATAGAATGCTAATATTGATTTCAGATAATTGTCTACCTCCTTACACAGTGAGTGAAAAGGCTATATCTAAGGAAAACTAGTAAGGGTACTATAGGTAATAACTAAAAGTAATAAGCAAATACTAATAATGAGGTAGTTAAGAAAGAAGTGGAGAGTGTGAAAGTCTCCCAGAGCAACTGGCCACGCTGGCATACGGTTGTGGATGCGTTCTACTATTCCTTCAAGAGGCTATTTGCTAAACTGGTTCCACATCAGGTGTCTCCAATTATAGAAAATTCAGGAATATGTGCTCCGTCTTTGTCATCCGGAGGATGGTAAGGAAAAAGATCAGCGACATTGAAGGTTTTGGATGTCTGCATTGTGTTTGGTAGATCAACGACATATGCATTTTCGTTAATACGTTTGAGAATTGAGATTGGCCCGAATTTGCGAGGACTTAGCTTGGAATTGGCACCAGTGGGGAAACAGTCTTTTCGAAGCCGTATAAGTACGAGGTCTCCAGGCTGAAAAGAGACATGAAGACGATGGAGATCGGCGGCCTTTTTGTAAGATGAATTGGAAGTAATTAGTTTCATGCGGACTTCATCCAGAACTGACTGGCAATGGTCAGTCAATGTTGCAGCAGATTTATTGGCACATTTGGGTAGAATGGCTATATCAAACAGATGGTTTGGAGCCTTAGTATAAACAATGGTGAAAGAACATCGGTCGAACGATTAGGCATGGAGTTGTAAGCAAACTCTGCCTGACTTAGTGCATTTTCCCACTGTTTCGGTTGGTTCTGCACGAGGCAGCGTAGCATATTTCCAAGTGTTCGATTAATTACTTCGGTTTGCCCATCAGACTGGGGATGATAAGCATAGTTCAAGTTTAGCGAAGTGTGGAGGCGTTTCCAAAGTTCACGCCAAAAATGACTGACAAATTTGACGTCACGATCTGAAGTAACACTTCGTGGTAGATCATGTAAACGCACAGTTTCATGAAAAAATAAGCGGGCGATATTAATAGCATCAAGAGTTTTGCGACATGCAACAAAGTGTGCCATATTTGAAAAACGGTCTACAATGACCATTATGGAGTTAGCTCCTCGTTGTGTTCGCGGCAAACCAAGTACAAAATCAATGCTAATATCTTCCCAAATAGAATCAGGAATGGAGAGAGGTGTATAAAGGCCGGCATTTTGTTTGGTACCTTTAAACTCTTGACATACAGCACAACGTTCGATGAAACGAGAAATGTCACGGTGAAGTTTGGGCCAAAAAAATCTCGCCTTGAGCTGTTGAATCGTATTTTCTCGACCAAGATGAGCTGCCAGCTCGCCGGCATGTGCATCCTTGATAAGTTGCTGTCTGTAGGAAGATTCAGGAATGCATAAGGCGTTGCCTTTGAAGAGATATCCATGTCGCAAGGAGTAATCAGCGACGGGTTGTAATGCAATGCATTGTTGCCAAATAAGACAGAAATCGGGATCTTCTGAATAAAGTTCTTGGAGACATTCAAGGCCGGTTAGTTCGGTCTGGAGCTGAGTTACAAGAGCGGTGCGCCTACTAAGGGCGTCAGCAACCCTGTTTTGATTTCCCGATTTATGCTTCAGAACGAAAATAAATTTCTGAAGAAAGAGGATCCATCTAGCGTGCATTCGATTGATGGTTTTCTGACTGTTAAGGAATTGTAAGGTCTTGTGGTCACTACTCAAGCGAAGTCTTGGTGCAAGAGATAATGTTCCCAATGCTTAAGGGCACGAATGACCGCATAGAGCTCTTGCTCATAAACATTCCACTTTTGTCGTGCAGTGCTGAGCTTTTCGCTAAAAAACTCCACTGGTCTATTAGATTGTGACAATACTGCGCCAATCCCGGTTGTAGATGCGTCGGTATCCACCTGGAATGGAATATCAAAATTTGGTAAGGCTAAAACAGGTGTTGTGCTTAAAGATTCTTTGATGGTATCCCAATTCCTTTGGCATTCTTCATTCCAGGAAAATTGTTTAGCCTTTAAACAGTCTGTAATTGGAGCCATGATAATGCTAAATCTCCGAATGAATCGTCTGTAGAAATTGGCAAGACCATGAAAGCTTCGGACGTCGAACATGTTGCGAGGGATTGGCCAGTCACGTATGGCTTCTATTTTTCTTGGATCGGTCATCACCCCGTCTGCCGAGACAATAAAACCCAAGAAATAGACTTGGGCTATGGCAAACTCACACTTTGAAGTAAAGATTGTGTTCCCGCGATTTCTGTAACACCTTGGTAAGGTGCTTGATATGATCCTCAAAGGAAGGGCTGTAGCTTAAAATGTCATTAAAATAAACAACGCAAAAACGGTTAAGGTGATCCTTGAGTACCTCGTTCATCATGCGCATGAAAGTAGTCGGGGCATTGCATAACCCAAATGGCATTACACGCCATTCAAATAGGCCTTGCTTCATTTTGAAAGCCGTCTTCCAATCATCTCCCGACCGGATGCGGATTTGATGGTAGCCGCTGCGGAGGTCGAGCTTAGAGAATACCTGAGAACCGGCGAGCTTGTCCAACATATCTTCAATGCGAGGCACAGGGAACCAGAACTTTGTGGTGATTTTATTGATAGCCCGGCTATCAATACACATGCGCCATCGGTTGTCTTTCTTGGGAACTAGTAAGGCCGGGACGGCGCAAGGGCTAAGACTTGGTTGGATCAGTTTTTGTCTTAACAAGTCCTCTACCATCTCTTGTAACAGTTCATGTTCCTTCGGACTCATCCGATAATGTGGAAGGTTCGACAAATTGGCTCCGAGAACTAAGTCAATTTGATGTTGTATCATGCACATTGGCGGAAGTTCAGGTGGTAGCTCTGACGGCATAATATCCATGAATTCCTGAAGTAATTCGACAATCTGTGGTGGTCGGTTTGCTTATACTTGGTTTTCCCCCCCTTTTGGGGGGGGGGGGGGGGGGGGGGGGGGAGGAGTGTCGACAGTCACCAAGGCGTAAATACAGGACTTATTATCAGAAAGGAAGGTGGCACCCGAGACAATATTAAGAACGAATTTGTTCTTAGCTGAATTGGTACTGGGTACCGGAGCTGTTGAATCAAGAAACTTGATAACTCCACCTCTATGGGACTAGTTACCGAGCTGGGAATGACAGATCTGTATTCCCTAGCTTGAGAGGAAGTGTTAAATCCTAGCGTCCCTTGGCCCTTGATCGCACGACTATCATGGGAATCCATGGGAGGCTCACTTGTTAAATCTCTGTCGTTCCTTACCTCTTGATCCTATGGCTAGCATAGGGATCCATGGGAGGCTCACCTGGATCATGTCGATCTCCTTTCATGTTTAGGTGGTTCATTTAGAAATGATTATATTATTGCAACTATGCATGATTCCGTAATTATTTCTTTCTTTATTAAGATATCTTATATAGATCTATAAATAGGGATAGTTTTGTGTAATAAAATGAAGTATTTTCCTGCTTTGGGATGCTCGGTTCCTGCTCCCTGCTTTCCTGGTTTCCTTTACTGTGGCTGCTCGGTTGCTGCTCCCTGGCTTTTCGATTTCTGCTGGCTGTGGTGGTTCAGATTCTATGCCTTAAATACTACCTTTATTTTCCCTTTTTTGGTTGGTTGTGTGGGCGGCTGAGCATGGCTTTTGGCCTCCTTTTATTTTCTATTTATAGGACTATTTTGTGGTTATTTGGATGAGGTTTATGAGTGATAATTTTTGGAATGTAAAAACCTTCGGGTTTTTTAGCTTGCGAGCTAAGTCCGCTTTCCCCTTCTCTTATATTTCGTCTTCGACTTCTAATCTCCTTCTCTCCATGGTATCCACTCCACATGTATCATTCTTCTCAATCTTTATAAGTTGTGTCGTGTCATGTTTTATTGAAAGTTGAAGTGTTTGTGTGTCCTTTTTATTTGAAGTTGTAAGGTTGCGTCAATTTGGGTATCAGTTAGTAAGTCAAACCCAAAATTTTTCGTGTTCTGAAACATCCTGGCGTCTATGCCTGCCATGTGTTGATGCCTAAATTGCTAAGCATTTCTGCTTTTAGATGATTTTACGTAATGAAGAAGATTAAGGTATCTGCAATTCATATACCTGATTACCATTTCTTTTTCTTTCATAATGTTTTCCCTCCAGTACTTCTTTAAGCCTCACTTCGATTTAACCGACCATCTTCCTTCAGGATAGATTATTTTCATTGGTATATTAGATTTATTTTCCCACTCTACTGGTTGCAGTTCTTGTGCATTTTTATGTTTCGATGTTTGTATTTCATCTCTTTATCAATTGACTTTGTTAAACTTTGGAGTTTCTTTGGATAAATCTCTGAAGAAAACATGATATTCTTTTCCTCCTGTGTTATTTTCCTTTTATATTTAATAACTTTTACTTTGAGTAAGAGGACTGCTGCTTTCCTTATGATCTTAGCAGTATGGTTTGGAGCTTTTTTGAATTGTCTAGTTATGGCACAAAGTTGCATGTTTTTGAATAATAGTTTTTATTTTATTTTTTTTAATGTTTTTGAATAATAGTTGAATTAGGTCTTATATTCTTTTAGGGACATGTACTGATGGTTACCTTTCTTCCAGTATGCAGAAAAAGCATTTGTTCGAAAACCCAGGAATGACCAATATCAGCTACTTGCAGCACAGCAAATATGGGAGAGTGTTTGTTGCAATGACAAGAAAGCAGTTTACCAACATATAGTGGCCTCAAATGCTGATGTGAATGCTGTATATGAACAGACATCTTTCAATAATTCCTTAACTCTCGCAAAAGCGTTGCTTCTGCAGGAGCAAACAAGTCCAGTCTTCGATCGAAGCTCTAGCTGTAATATTGGTGAATCAGAACAATGGGTTTCTGCCTTGAACTCCTTCAGTTCGCTCGGCGCCAGCGAAAACAGAAGTGAAACTGATGAAAGCTATGAAGGCTTCTCCCTCCTTCACCTTGCTTGTCAAACAGGTGATATTGGAATGATAGAACTGCTCTTGCAATATGGGGCTAATGTAAATGCTGTGGATCTGAGGATGATGTCGCCACTTCATCATTGTATTCTGAGAGGTCGACATGCCTTCACTAAGCTACTGATTTCCAGGTGATTTTTCTATTCATAAATAAACGCTTTACTGCATGTCTTTTCCTCACTCCCTGAACTTCTTGTGCTCTTTTAGGTTCATTTCTCAAGTTTTTTATTCGATTAATAAATGCTTGTAATTCTCATTTTTTAGCCCATTCCTGTGGTCTTGACCAATGACCATATCTATGTTTGATATTATCTCATGATAGATGTTTCATTATTTTTCAGGAAATTACCGAATGATAAATTTTCTTAGTTTCTTGACTCGGTTTAGGGTGTCAGACCCTTCTTGTGCTTCAACCATTAATTATATACGTGTAATATACATAATTTTTTTTTTAATGAAAAGTTGTATTAGGACATCTTGATAAAAAAATGATCAGGATGTACTTTAAAGTTATTTATTTACTTTAAGATAGGGCCGCAAAAGAACCGAGTTGAGCGAATATGTGAGTGTTCATGTTTGAGTTCATTTATTATCAGCTTGTTCAAGTTTGGTTCATGTTTGATTCGAGCTTTATTGTTTGTGTTTATGTTTGGTTCGTTTAAATTAATGAGTTTCGTATTTGGTTCATGTTTGGTTCGTTTAGTGTTTATCGAGCTTTAAACAAATAAGCCTCAACAAGCTATAAATGAGCTTTATTTCTAGATGTTCATTAACTTAACAAACGAGCTTTATCGAGTCTCCTAACAAACAATTACATCGAGCATGTTCGTGAACATATTTAACAAATTTTTTTGAACTATGAAACAATCACCTTCATGAACAAATCTAACTAGTATTCTTGATCTATCAAATGAGCAAGTTCATTAACATATATAACTAGTTATAATAAATATAAAATATTTATATTATGTATATTTATTATTTTTATAATTAAATATTAATTGAGTTTTTATCGAGTTTATTCACGGTTTTGAATCAAACACGAATCGAGCTAGTTCACCAGCTTTAAATGATGTCGTTCATGAACATAAATGAGCCAAACAAATTAGTGTTTAAGTTTGTTTATTTAAGTATCGAGTATTTAAAATATTGTTCAAGTCTGTTTGTTTAGCTAATTAAACGATCACAAGCAAGCTTTAATTGAACCGAGCAGCGAGGAGCTTGTCAAACATTTGGTTCGTTTGCAGCCCTACTTTAAGATAGGTGCAACATGAGTTATGCACATATTGCACTTATTTTGAAGCAGGTGTAAGACTTTAAAATTTATTCTGATGAAAATTTTGATAGGGATATCCCTATATAATTTTTTTTCCCACCTCATGGCTAGATTCCTCTTGTTTACATAAACAACCTAAACCTTATTAATCTGCATCTCTGCTTCCAGGGGCGCTGATCCGCACACCACTGACAGTGTTGGTAAGACCCCTCTACAGTATGCAATGGAAACTGGAAACATAGATGATGAGGAAGCTCTTGTTCTATTGGAGGATACAAATAGATAGTATGAATTTGCAATACCCAGATATCTCTACTAGGTTATTAGGAAAGATTGCTGGTTCTGATGGATCTGCACTTTTCAAACCCAAGTCAGTCCCAGTGTTAGCTTTCCCTAATCTCGCCACCTTTTGTCAGTGATTAGTCAGGAATTTCGAGCTCCGCAATCCAACGAGTCGCATATCGGTTGAGCTTGGAAGAAGGCGATCTTCGTGTTTCTGGAACTTTCAGGTTTGTCTTTTCTATTGATCACAGTTTATGTTTGGTTTGCAGCTTCCTGCCTTGTATGAGCAATGTGTGTATTACCCCTCCCTATTATGGTTTTATCAGATTCAATTCTATGGCCTGCATTTGATTGCTAAGACTTGTTTTGTCTTGTAAAAATTTTTGTATATATATTTGAACTTGTTCTTATTATATTACTCTGAGTTCAATTAAAACAAAAGTTTTCCATCTAGATTGTTTATTTAGTCATTTCCTTCTTGCTTTTTTTGTGAGGGTTGCTGCTAATACATCCTCTCTATGCATCTGGGCTTCTTCTTGGTTCATAGGGAAGTATTCACTTGTCATCTTAGAGCCCCCTGTCATAATCTTGAGAAATTATTAGGTGCGGATACCGGATGGAGAGAACCGTCCGGTTTTCTTTCTGTGTAAAGTAAAAGCGTAGTCAAAGCACAATTACTGTAGCATAAGCACTTTGACTACGCTTTTATTGTAGTCAGAAAGAAAACCGGACGGTTCTCTTTGTCCGGTGTCCGCACCTAATAATTTGCCCATAATCTTGGACCATTGCTTCTAATTTATGTTAATCCTATCATGTCATTAGGTAATCTGGAACCGTGCATGCTTAGATCCATTCGGGGCAAATTTTTTTAATAATTTTATTATGCTATAATCTTTTAGGAATTTTAGTGATTAAAGCTTCGTTTGGGACAGCTTATTTACTGCTTTTTAAAGCAGTTTTTTAGTATAATTTTTTTAACTAGAAAATTTTATACTAGAAAACAACTTTAGAGTGTAATAAGAAACTATCCCAAACGAAGTATGTATGTAGCATTTTATAATTAGTTGTGTTAGAGTATGATAGCTATAAAAAAATTGTTATCATTAGAGAAAAAAGTATATGATATCAACAGTAGCACAAAAAAATTATTATTCATACAATAGTTCTTTAGTTATTTTATAGACGATTACGGTCACCTTAAACAAACCCTTAATGTTGGTGATCACTTGAATCTCGTCGGCTTGGAAGGCTCATCGAATCATGGAGCACCAACCCACATTGATTTTTGGTTTAGGGTGGGTGCGATGTGGCGACCGAGAACGGGCTAAGTTAACATCACCATCTTCTTCTTCTTCTTCCTATTGTGGCACCACATTGAATGCTTTGATTGACATAGAACATCCATTGAAGCACCTTTCTTGCAAATGCATGAAAGCTAAAATGGCTATGCACATTTGATTGATATTCTTAGTGTTTGTGATCTGAATTTAATTAGGATTTGATTCCATCTCCCAAATTTGGATCATCAATGTTTTTAGGTTTTTGAAGTCTTTATTGTGGAGTTTTGTGGGTGCATTTAGCCCTTGCAAAAGCTGACCTTAGTTGAATATCAAGATTTTAGGGTTTAGAGCACTTGGTGAAATAAAGTTTTCTAATTAGGTTTCTAATGAGGGTTGATCAGTGCACTAATAGGACAAAGCTTCATGTGATTTGGGTTTAATTAATAATTATGTAATAATATAAATTTGTGATTAAAAAATAGATAGTGTGAGATATAAATTATATACTTATTATATACTCATAACTATAAATCATGTAAAGGTATTAAATAGATAAAATTATTTTTAATAGTAAATAATTAAAAAAATAAAAATTTAAATAGATAAGTAATTAATTATAATTAATCAAAAATAAATGTTATTCATGTTACTAAAAAATCATCCCATTTGTGTATTTTTTACTTATGATTTATAATGCATTGTTTAACCATCATAAATTTGTTTATCCTCATTGAAACCAACCAAAAGGATTAGGATTATGTGTACAACTCGGTAGACAACCTTTGGTTTTTTAAGTAAAATTTTTGGGTTTTATCGTTTGATATATCAACAATTGCACTGATAATTGATTGCAAATAGTAAAGCTTCATTGCTTCACTCCAAAATATAGCTCAATTCACATTTATTTATACAATGATGTACATTAAGGTTTTGTTTGGGACAACTTTCTTACTGCTTCTGAAAGCAGCTTTCTAGAACAAAAATTTTATTTTTTGTACTAGAAAGCTAAAATTTTTGTTCTAGAAAGCTGCTCTCATAAGCAGTAAGAAAGTCGTCCCAAATGAAACCTAAGACTTTATTTGTGATAGGTTTTTTACTGCATCAAGAAGCAGCTTTCTAGTACGTAAATTTTTAATTCAAAAATTTTAATACTAAAAAATTGCTTCATAAAGCAGTAAGAAAGTTGTTCCAAATAAAGCCTAAAAATACAAATTCTTAGCTTTGAAGATGATTATGTAATTACAAACTACAAATTCTTAGCTTTCGAAGAAATATTTGAGCCGAGTTTTCTCATTTATACAAGAGATGAGCTAAAATAAGGCTTATAATTAGCAAAATGATTATCATGGAGGGGTTTTTTTTTTAGCAAGCCCTAAGGGGATTTTCCTAATTGTGATTATTTAGCTTATTAATATGCCTTCATCTAATGGAAAGTAATGTTAAGGAGTCAAGTTTTTTAAATCTACAGCTCATAATATTCACTATAATATCATGTTTGATTCAAAACAACAATATTTAATGTCATATTTGATACTTTCATTAAGAAATGATTGGGATGAGGAACTAAGCACCTAGAGATTAGGAGGTCAAATCGTCTTCTCATCAAGAAAGAAAATCATACCACACCGGACAGCGAAGTTGGTGGGCGAGCGTGGTTATGAACCTCTCAACTCATGATCGATTCCTCTCTCATGCGGCGCGACTTCTTAAATAGGGAGAAAATAACTGTGTGATCCTGCACCTGTGGGGTTGGTTGTTGGTAGACTCATCGAGGGATTAGTTATGCCACCATACGCCTCCTCTGGGGTGACAGCGGCTACTATTGCCACATTATCATGATATGAAAATACAATCATAAAAGTGTCGGCCTCATTGTCTCATTGCGAGCAAATGATAACATTTTTAAAGATGCATCATACTCTTTGGTTATTGTTGTGAAAAATTTCTTTGAACATGGTCTATGCCTTGATCTTAAGGAGATAGCTTTGCATAATGAATTGGCCTACTTGCATGCAATATTAATGACAACAAATCCTCCTATATTTTTTACATAAAATACTTAACATAAAAAATATAATCGAATAAAATTACAATGATAATATTACAAAAAAATTATAAAATTATATAATATATTCTATATTGTAGTGCATAAATCCCTTCAATAAAAAAAAAAAACCTATTCCATTAGGAATTATATGCCAAGGTAGCAAAAGAGCCAAACCTAATATCAATTAATAAATAAATAAATAAATAAGTTAGAGGTGTTGTGAAAATAAGTAATTAATAAATTAGGCTTTTAAGTCCACAACTTGATGAATATATTAAGAGGTAAGATTAAATGCAATGAGAATATAAAAGTGAAATATACCAAGATAAAATTTTAGATAATTTTTAATAAAACCAAAAAAAGTATATGTAGATCTTATAGAGACACTTAAAAAATAAATGTAATAAAAAAAAATTTATTACCATCAATATGCATTATGAAAATAAATATGTGCATTATTAGGTTAAACAAAACATATTATAGTTAATTAGATCTTGTTGGCCCAAAAAATTACATAATTTATAGATTAAGGTTTCGTTTGGGGCGGCTTTCTTCTTGCTTCTTAAAGCAGCTTTTTAGTATAAAAAATAAAAATTTTGTACTAGAAAGCTGCTTTATGTAGCAATAAAAAAGCCGTCCCAAACGAAGCCAAATGTGTTCGGTTTAAATTTGTCTAGTATGTGTCAAATTGAATTTGGGTCAAGCATTTTGAACCGTATAATACATGGACCGGCTTCGAAAAAAGTAAGTTTATGTCGAGTCGAACCTAGATAAGATCTATCTACCCAAATTGAAATCCATAATATCAATGGATTGAAAGAGAAGTTGGCCAACTAAAACAAATGGCTAAAGCTAGAGTTACACACCTAACTATGACTCACATTCCATGAACAACACCATATAGATGGGTTATGAAATATTACTAATTGTAGAGAAAGAGATTATGGTCATAGAAATGAATATAAGCCTCACACACTAAATAAATTAAGAGCAGCTCATATAAGATATGAAGTTTTCACATGCAAAATGTAAGAATAGGAAAAAAATTATGAGACTTGCCTATTTGAAATGATTTCAATAATGTGAGTCATACATTACTAAAGATGCACTTTCTTACAGTCAAAGGAAATTTTTAATAAAATATAATATTAATATATCATCAAAAAATTATCTTGATCGGGCACAAATCTTGAGAATAAATCAAGCCAAAAACTTCAAAAATTAAATTCGGGATCACCTGAACTCCAATTTCAGCAAACTTATAGTCAAATTGGGCGCCTCGGAAACACAAACTCAACGACACCAAATTCAACTAGATCTGAGCCCAAATGAGTCTGAATTAAAGACCCGAAGCGCTGTTGGAAGATTAAAATCACAATTTGGATTACCAAATGGTTTTCAAACATGACGTGCTTATAGTCAAATCGAGCAGCTCGACGAGACAAATCCAACGAGCCCAAGATCGCTAAATTTTGATATCGTTAAGACTTTCAAATGTCTAATAAACGTTCCACGATCAAAGGATTCAATATCGGCCGTCCATCCGAACTACTCCACATTTGCCCTTGATCTTCCTCCTATTTACGGGTTATGTCATCTTCAAAAAACTATAAATAGCACCTTATTTCTCTTGAGAGGGGACCCAAGCAAGAAGAGAAGAAGGAGAAGAGAATAGAAGAAAGATAGGAAGGAAGAAATTCCTCCTCGACCACTGCCGGAATTCTGCCCAACTTCCACAGAACGCCGGAATTCTGCCTGACTTCCAAACGACGCCGGATTCTACCCGACTTCTAAGTGACGCCGGAGTTCCGTCCGACTTGCGAGTGACGCCGGAATTCTGTCCAATCTCTAGGTAACTCTGAATTCGGCTTGAGAATTCGGCTTGAATACACAACTTGTTTGTAACTGGATTTCAATGCGCAAGTGAATCATTGTAATTTGATTATCATAAATTTTAAGGACGAGTCAGCCTCTTATATCTCAAGCAAATACTAGTGAAATTCTTTCGAATGGGCGTGACCCCATTGTTTTTTCCCTTTCCAAGATTTTCCACGTAAAAATCCTTATGAGATGGAAACTTTCTAACTCTATCGTCGCGTCTATTCTAGTCCACAACAAATATATAT